TGATAAGTAATATTTAAAAGATTAAGAAATGGCAACYTGCATTAAAAGAGCTACACGAGAACAAACAACAAGAAACGCCAACACAGCAATCAAAAAAAGTGATAAAGGCTTCCGATGTTGTTAAAAGATGCCTTGCAATTGAGACCGTTCCAAGGCATCCTATACACACTGTTGTTGAAGAAAAAGAAAACAGTTCTGAGAGTGAGGAGGATGACTTTATTTTTTAAATCTGGGTAATTATTTTGCAAAACAGACCTTGAATATATGCTATTTGTAACTTACTGCAAGTTTATCATGAAGTCTATACAAGTATATGCATGCATGTTTTTCCACTGTAGCATGAACGTCATGTCATAAAAGCTGCTTCATCTAGAAATTAAAAGACAGGATATGATCCTCCGTGGTGGGGGTATGGATACTTTGTGGAGCTACACATTCTATCAAGCCCAACATAATTACATGTTGTGTGATTGAGGCAAAATTGGAGGCAACTACCTTATATTTGGCTCAATTTCAAAAACAAATTCCATTCAACTCATTGTCATCTACATATGTGTTATCCTTTTTTACCACAGAGATGAGGTGTATGTTATGGATGGAGCCACCAAGCTTGGTAGTGCTTCTTTTATAAGGATATCAAAATTAAATGGTATGTAGTACAAATATTTACTACCCTAACTTGATTTCATACTAAGAAGCTTTCAATGCTAATTACATTAAAAGTGCCGAGAAACTAGTTTTTGAAATTATTGTTAGAAATATTTATGATATTTTATGTTGTATTCATTAGTTGCCATATTTGGGCATTGTACTTCATGTGGAGCGTGGATTGTGGGGCTTCATAGAAGGATTGGAAACAGCACCAGCGGATGATGCAAGCGCTGCAGTAATGAATGCTTACAAGTTGCGATCAAATAAAGCGTATTCCCTGATCGCRTTGAATGTGGAGAAGGATTTACAAGTTCATATTTCATCTATTACTGACCCTTGTGTCGCGTGGGAAACTTTCCGAAAGCAGTTTGAGTTCGTCTCGATCACTCAAATTCTTCGCCTTAACCGAAAATTTTATGCTGCCACGATGGAAGAGGGAAGTGATTTGATGCAACAACTAACTTACATGACTTCGCATGCTGAGAGGCTACGAGAGCTAAAGGAAGAAATCTCTTCAAAGAAATTTGCCACGACCGTTCTTGGAAGTTTGCCCGCCTCGTACGATACGTTTCTGACAAGCTTGAATGCCAGAAACKCTGATGAATTAAACTGGGACAATGTGAGAGGACTACTCACCGAAGAATTCATGAAAAGAAAAGAAAAGACCGAGAAACAAGAATCCGAGGATGTTCTTTTTATGAAAAGAGGAAATAGCRCAAATCCCAGGCCCGGAAGAAATCAGTGCCTGACTTTCGTATTTGAATAAACGACATTTTACATGTAATCGAGGCAGCTCAATGTTTGTTCTTTTTTCTCCTCAAGAACACAACGAAATCAAGCAAAATTTAGTCAGAATAACAACAATTTGAGGACGTTTAATTTAGCATGTCACAATTTCCAAGGAAAAGATCACGTGACTTGTCACGTGACCGGAAATGACAAAAAATGGCGGTTTTGGCTGTTTTGAAAGGTTTTCAATACATATTATATTTTACAAATAATGCTTGTTAAGTATACATCAGGTATCAAGAAATACATTTAAGTTAAAAAAATTAAACAAAGTACTCAAATTAAGCCAAATTATGAGAGTTTTCCGCTCGCGTACAGTTTGTACGCACGCTAACATTAAAACGAGGCCGAGTATTTTTTTCATCAATATTTACATAAAATCACGAGTTAATGTCAAGAGATGTGGATAAAGACCGGTACCAAAGAGCAGCAAAGGTTTATTCCTATACACAACATCCATTCGTCTCTTTGTCCAACACTCAGTCAATTAATGCCTGCTTTCCATTCAATAACTGGATGTGATAGCTGCAGCAGCCTGTTCGGGATTGGAAAGTCCACAGCCTGGAAAGTTCTAACTAGTGACCGGATTATCCAACAGCATCTTTCAACACTGGGCGATGATTTACCAATAAGATTGTCAACTGTAACATCAGCAGAAGCCTTTATTTGCCGTCTTTATTCCACGGACGGAAAAAGACTGGAGCACACTGACGAAGTCCGCCACTACTTATTTTGTCAGAAAAACATCACTGACAAACTTCCACCCACGTCTGAAAGTGTTGTGCATCATATCAAACGTGCAAACTTTGAAACTGCTGTTTCGAAAAAGTCACTGGTGGCCATGCAGAACCTCCCGTAGCCCTGCACCGACCAGCATAATTGAGCTTACTCGTTGCCAGTGCATTCGTTCCGAATGTAAAAAGAACTGTTCATGCAAATTAAACAATCTGGTATGTACTGAGGCGTGCCGTTGTATGGCTGATGATACTAGATGTGGAAATTTAATCGCTCACATAAATCAAGTACCTGACGACGACTCTTCCGACGACGAGTCAGACATTTAAGCCGATAACTTCCATCTTGTACATATTACTTAAAACACGACATTTATGGAACAAAACATTCTACATATACATTTAATCTGTAAATTATTACATTTCGGAAACCCTTGCATGTATATCAAATTATTTATATTTTAACATTTAAGAGCAAAACATTGTACATATCAGGTAAATACGACACGTAAGGTTTTAACGTCGAACAAAACTTTGTAAATATAAAGTAAAAATAGTAAAGCAATACTAGTAATTATATTCCTGGCTATGACCAAAGTCACGTGACCTATTACGTGACCCAGTGATACACGTTGACAAACACTTTTATGAAAAACAGTTGTAAGGATTATTTTTGTATCTAGGCTAATTTCTTGTGATTTTATGTAAATATTGATTAAAAAAATACTCAGCCTCGTTTTCATGTTAGCGTGCGTGCAAACTGTACGCGAGCGGAAAGCTCTCATAATTTGGCTTAATTTGAGTACTTTGTTTAATTTTTTTAACTTAAATGTATTTCTTGATACCTGATGTAAACTTAACAAGCATTATTTGTACAATATATCATTTTCAATACTACTAAATATGTATTGAAAACCCTTCAAAACAGCCAAAACAGCCATTTTTTGTCATTTCCGGTCACAGGACAAGTCACGTGATCTTTTCCTTGGAAATTGTGACATGCCAAATTAAACATCGTCAAGTTGTTGTTATTCTGGCTAAATTTTGCTTGATTTCGTTGTGTTCTTGAGGAGAAAAAAGAACAAACATTGAGCTGCCTCGATTACATGTAAAATGTCGTTTATTCAAATACGACCCCCCCTTAAAGGGGGATGGCACCACTTTTCGAGACCACATAGTACCTGTAGTTATAGAATGGACATTGATCTTTAAGAATCAGGCATCAAACCTTTTCTGTCCAGTGGGTTGTGCTAACTCGTTAAATAAGCCTCTTTGGGAAAATAGCTCCTCGACTAATAAACGATGCTCTGTGTTAGCTTCATTGGTCTATTGTCTTTCTTTTCAAATTCCATGTGTTTTCCCGGGCTCTCAATGAAACAAAAGAATATATGGTTTTGAGGCTAACATAGAGCAAACCAGAACTTGAAATCGAGGCATTGAGGCTAAATAAAGCCTAACAAAACAAAACTAGAGTACTGAAAGATTAGATAGATCAGATAGTGCAGACATTGTACATAAAAACTACCATTATACGATGCGTGTCTAGTAACAATCAGGCGCACTGCTACAAGCGGCTATGTCAATCTAACAAAGTTTTTCAAAAGTTGATAGATAACTGAATATGTAGCATAAAACTTCGTTTGTTAAATCTTCCACTGTAATTGCCAACATTTCTCTTTATGTTCGTAAAAGCGCAGATTAACAAAATTTTTACATTCATGAAAGCTACTTTTTTGACACGGTCAAGAAATAAAAAGAACTATACCGCAAAACGAATGAAAATGCGCATTTTTTGTGTGAAAAAGCACGATTATATGAATAAAGGATTACACAGTAGGCTCAAAAAGGCACCATTTTCTCAATCACTTTATGGCTCAAATACTTCCAAATATGGTCAGTGAGCACGATAACACACGATTATAAGGGCACGCTGAACTAAAAGGCACAAACTTATCTGAATTATATGAAGTCGCTTTTCAGCAGGACAACACGTTTTGCTAGGCATGCGGGAGTGCCTCTAACTAACAACTACAGAAATGTAAAAAAAAAAAAAACAACCAAAAAAATGGAAAAAACATTGTCCTCGTGATGCCTAAAACATCTGGAAAAGACAGGATTCAGAAGTCCATAGAGCGCCGTAAAAAACTCCACCGAGAAAAATCAAAAAGATATTACAAAAAGAAGAAGAAAGCTGTTGCTAATAATTCATCTGCTAGCCTTAACAGTCAAACCAAAAAGAGGATCTTGGATAAAGTGAAAGATATCCACACCAGAAAAGAAGGCGGAATTGATTGAGAAGTTAATTGATAGTCCAAAAACGCAAAACATTTTATTCAACAATGGCCACTTGGGTCAAAAACACTCAACTGCCACTTCTGTTATGGATAATGTTAAAGAAGTTGTCACAACCTTAAAGCATAAAAGAAACATAGACTCTAGAGTAGCCATGAATGTTGGCATTTCTATGTTGTGCGGAAATCAAATGGTATGCAGACTGCCCTTTCTAAAGAACTTGGAATCACGAGAAGGAGGATAGCCATGAGCACTCAACATCGCTTAAAAGCACTATCCAGTGAGACTCCATGGACTTTAACGAAAACTAAGACTAGAAACGATGCAATTCCTGAGGAACACAGGAAAATAGCGCACAAATTTTGGGCCGGAAAGGGAATCTCCAGACGAACTGGAAACAAGACAATGGGACAAAGATACTTTGAAGGCTGTAAGCCTTTTTATGTTGTTCCTGCAAGAGCAAAAGATCGCAATAGTTGCTGCTGTCGAGCGCATGTTGAGATTTCGACAAACTTTGAAAAGAGATGATGACTTTCCAATCTTCACACATTTAACAGATCTTGTCAACTTAACTCTGTGTGATCGAAATGAAGAGCAAAAGTACCACGATAAAAACTGCTTGAACAGGAAATGTCAACACTGTGGCACAAAGAAGATGATTCTCTCACCCGAAGAAACAAATAAAGATACAGACATGAGAGTTTGATTGGAACGATTTGAGTATGTTCTTATTGGCGATAAGAGAAAGTTACATCTGGTGCAGAAAGAAACGTCACCCGCCGAGATGTTTGAGTACTTCATCTTTCTTTTAGAGAGTTATCTGGCGCATCAATTTAGAGCGAGTTAGCAGAATGCAGAGTTAAAAAATCTTCTAGAGAATTTACCTTGTGGACACGTGCTGCATACATGATTATTCTGAAAATTACAGTTGTCAACACCAGGATCAGATACAATCATTATATTATGGCCAAGTTCAAGTCTCCATTCATGTTACCATTTTGTATCGTCATGCAATCAAAGAAATCGAGGATGAGGAAAGTACTCCTGAAAGTCCAAAAATCATCACAGAACAATTGTTTGTTATTTCACGGGACAAAACACACGATTCACACTCTGTTCACAATTGCCGTGAACAAGTGGCAAACTATCTTAAAGACATTGGATGCCGTGTTGAGACCATGCAGATGGCTGTGCTACGCAATTCAAAAGCTGTCATTGCCTGGGCGATATTTCAGTGTCTTTTGAAGATTTTGGCTTCAGAACAATTCGTAACTACTTTGAAACATCACACGCCAAAGGTCCCCAAGATGGAGCTGGTGCCAACATCAAGCACAAATCTGACATGGCGGTTATCAGACGTGAAGTCGTTATTCAGAGCAGTCTCGATTTGTACAATTTTGCAGAAAATTCCCTGAGAGAGCCTTCCCAAAGTGTTTACCAGTCCCATAATGTGAGACTTAAAAAACGGGTTTTCTTTCACGTGGAGGAAATATTACATGATCGGAGGAATCGTCTATTTAAAGAAGTGAAAGGCATAAGAAGCATGCACAGTGTACTGTCTTATAAGGAGAACTTAAAAATTTCCACTCGTAAACTAACTTGTTATTGCAGATGTTGTTTGTCCGAAGAAAAGATTATGTTACCTGCTGGACAACATTTCAAATGTAGCATGAACAGCATGATATTTTCAGTTCAAAAAGAAAAACATTTAACAAAAGATGCAATTTTGTAAATTAAATGTATGTTTTACTGGTACATGATTTCAGTTAGTTAGTTGATACAATTAGTTGTTATAAGTAGCCACAGTCTTCAAAAAATCCCTCGCTCTTATCTTGGGTAACCTGATGAGAAAAAATTGTTCAAAATCATGTTTGTTTTGCATTGTAAAATTTATCATCGTTATGATATGCCCACATCAATGATGGCATTCAAATGTCATTGTATAGTCAGATAAACATATACCTATCAGGCAGGAGTTTCAATGGGCTTCATAGTTATCATTGTTAATAAATAAGTGATATTGTTGTTGATACATAATGGTGTTGATTTTGATACATGGTTTAGTCTAATAATCAGGGCCTGGTTGTCAATAGGCTCAACTGTCTCTAATTTTAGGTATAACCATAAGAACATTAGCTGTTTTCCCAGGATTATTAGTAATATATATATTATTGATAAGAGTGAACAATGGCATTTTTTATGAGTAATAAGTTACCTGATTAAGTGCGATTTCGAAAGAGCGTTTTGGATAGGTATAGCAAATTTCCTGATCTCTTTGAAGCCATTTCTTGCAAAAGTTAAAACAATCCTCTATCGGGTTATAATCAGGTGAGTAGGGCCTACAAGAAAGGAAGGAATGAAATCTCTCAAATACAACATCATCGCCTACATAGTTTTCCACAAACTTTACYGAAGGAAAAATAATAACAAAATAGTCATGAAAATATCCAAATAGTGGGTACACATGTAYAGGATGATTATTGAATATTAATAATAATTGTGGACTCCATTTTTTTTTTAATGAGCAACAATAATGCGTAAGGGAGGGGGGGAGCTGGAATTTACATACATCCATCACAAACAATCTGACCCCCCTAAGTGCTATCATATCATGTKTAACATTTAAGTATTTGTATGTCAAACCCCCGTCTTTGACTGCAAAAAAATTGTGACATCCCTCCTATTGTGCTTGTTATATWTTCCTGACCCCCCTCTAAATTCCAGCATTCCCGATAAAAAATGAATGGTCTCTAAGCAAAATAAAGCATCACAAGCACTGTGCATTTACAACTTGTGGCAAGATTCAACGTCTTGAAAAATCAACTGCAAAAAATTGCATTCAGATCAATAAAAGTATATCACTTTTCTGTCTCTAAATAGGTATTATTATTATGTGGACTCTAAATAGGTATTATCACACTACTAAGTATAGATCGATAACTGAATGATGCACACTTACGGAAGAAACATGATGATGCCTCCTTTGTTTCGCACTGCATTTGTGACRACGTCTGAATAGTGGATATTGCAGTTATCCATTATGACAACTGAATTTTCCTCCTGGTTTGCAAGGTTTCCAACATGTGGTAGGATAAATTGCATAAAAGCAAACTCATACTGCTCTCGATTGTATGCCCCATGAATAACATTAGAGGCTATTACTCCACTTGTGTTGATAGCACCAAGAACACTGAATCTAGAGCCTCTTGTGAAGTTACCTTTTATAGAGATGCGGCCAGTTCCAACAAGTTCTCTAGCATATCTCCTCTGTAATTTAGAAAAAAAAAAACATTTCAATAATAACATCAGTACTCCATCATAGTAGACGAAAATGAGCTGTACACAGCTTGATTTCAGTATAGGTATATTTGTTGTACGTCATTTTACCTGAAATGTTCGGTCATCTTTTGCAGACTCGTCAATAAATAAAAGCTGTTTTCTATTGAAAGCACTGACTCTACGGCAATACTCGGCACGTCTTGCATCATCTCGTTGCTTAGCAATGACATTTAGCTGTGATTCACAAAATGAGGAAAAGTTGAGTATGGGGCATGTCTAGTAACTTAGAAGTATAAGCAACCCTGTAAATAATATTGGCCAATTGCAAAACAATTAGCACCTATGGAATTTTCAGGGGGTGTCAAAACTTATTGGAAATGCAAGGTGGTACAATTGAAAGTACCATATATTTACTTTAGGAAATTCCAGTGGAGGGGGTTGAATCTGTATGGAAATTTCAGGGGAGTAGGTGGGTTTTTTAGGGGTTTCTCAACCCGGGGGTTCGGATTTTTTTTTTGCAATTGCCATTATAATTCATATTTACTCCTTTTATTCCAATGTATCAACGATAATAAGCTTAGTAACTTGTTTTGTATATGTTCAAAGATTTTTTGTTTTGTTCTTCCAAACAGTTGTTTAAGTTTTCCTTTTTTTCTTGATTATAGAAATACCTATTGCACAAAACAAAATAACTAATCTACAATAAGTATATTTTGACATTGACCTTTCGCCTCGAATATCCAATTTGTTTGAGGTAACGTGATATCGATGAAATGCTGATTTGCTTCCCAGTTGCATGGAATATCCATTCGCTGACCTCGTCTTCATATGCTTCAGGATATTGTTCTACGACTGCTTTTATAAGCAGAATATCATTTGCTGTAAAAAGAGATTTAGCTTTTTAATTATCGTATCATTACAGTAAATGTCTAAAGAAAGTTCTCTACTCACCATCAAGCTTTCGCGGTCGTCCACCGCGGCGAATCTTGTATGCAACTGAAAGATTTCTTTGATAAAGTCCGATGACTTTATTGACGAAGATTTTGCTTACTTTCAAAATTCCGCAAATTTCCTTGACTTGCAAACCTTCTCCGTAAAGTAAATATATAACACGCCAAYGTAAAGCCTCAGGATAGCTGGCAACCATTTTGAATAATCTTGAAACTAATTTTCACCCAAGTCCCRCCCACTTTGGAGACTGGGCACCCGGTCGCAATTTGATTGACGGAACAGTTTTTTCAAATTCGACAAACTGACTTTCGCCAATGTGGTCGCGTAGTTTTGAAAATAGTGGTAAAGTATTTAAAGCAAAAAAAACACCAAAAGGGTCATTATTCAGAATAATAAATGACAAAGGGGAATTGGAGGAAGGAGAAGGTGTTGGCGTTGCAAGAGACATTTTCTCCACTTTCTGGCAACAGGTGTATTCATCTTTAACAACTGGCGACATTGAGAAGGTGCCTGTCATACGTCATGATTTTCAGCATGACAAGTGGAGAGCAGTAGGGGAAATACTAGTCTATGGAGTCGAGTGTTTTGATTTTTTTCCAACTGGTATTTCCAAGGCATTTATTGTCTCATGCTTGTTTGGGGAAAAGGAAATTGACAGCAAGTTCCTGTTGGAATCATTTCGCCAGTACATCAGCCATGATGAGCGAGAACTTATGGACTCATGAATGGTGATATATCAGATGTTGACTCTGGTGACCTCCTAGACTTTCTAGGGAATTATAAGTGCTACAAGATGCCTACACAAGAGAATTTCCAAACTATTGTTACTGAATTAGCACACCAAGAACTTATTCAGTGTCCCAGATATATAGCTCAGTCTTGGTCCAAACCGCTGTCTTTACTAACAGAAAGAAAGAAATTCCAAAGTGTTACAGATCTTGTGTTCCTTTATGAGAAGAAGAAGCCAACAACAAAGAAAGTTGTCAAAGCCCTTGAAGCAAATCCATCCAATGAAGCAGAGCGCCAGAGCTTTGATTTCCTAAAGAAATTTATACGATCATTAGATCYCAAATCTCTGGARGCCTTTCTCAAATTTACAACAGGAAGTTGTACCATGATTGATCGAGGAATTGAGATTTCATTCACAYATACAGATGGCTTTGCAAGGAGACCAATAGCCCATACCTGTAATCCATCACTAGAACTTCCATGCACATACCAAACCTACCCTGAACTTGTGGAAGAATTCACAAATATCCTGAGAGAACAAGGAGCATGGCATTTTAATATTGTATAGAGTTGATATCTTTCACCTTATTGTTCTTGTGATCAAATACAAAAGCTTTAAGAAAATATTGTGACTTAATTGAAACTGATTGATTTTAATTGAAACAAATTGATTTTAATTAAGAAAGTTAAGATGTTCCAAATAGTTGTTATTGCATATGAAAGATATGCTGATTGCATATTGATTGTAATCAAGAAAGTCATGTTACAGTTATTATTGCATTTGAACTAAGATGATGCTGATTACACCTTGCGTTTACATATTGCTTTTAATACAAGAAAGTTATGATGTTAGAGATAGTTATTATTGGATATCAAATAAGATATGCTGATTACATATTGATTGTAATCAAGAAAGTTATGTTACAGTTATTATTGCATAATTACAACAAGGATGATTCCGATTACACCTTAAGTTTAATAAATTTACAAAATGGCTTACTGAGTAGTTTTTAGTTTTTATGTAATAATCTCCACATGTTCAAAAAACAATCCAAACAAAAGACAAAGTGCTTTGAAACGTGAGTTTGACCATATCTTTCTGGGGGAGGAGGTCCATCATTGTGCTCACAATAAATTTCGATTGCATCAACATTAAAACTAGAAGATGGATTTTCCTCAAAGCTTTTTGACTTTTAAAATTAAAATTTATTAGAGATTGTTTCCATGGMATTGTTTTGACTGAGATTTGAAAGATGTTGTCATAGTATAAATGTCATTTTATGGACATTAAAAAAAACGCCGGCAAAATAAAAAACAGTTCCGTTTTACAAATGGATGTCATTTTTGGTTGCATTATATCCAAAGATGCTCACTTGTTATGATATCATCAATATCGACAGGAACAAGGTAATTCTGTGTTGATGTTAATTCTGGGAGATAGTAGAGTAGGTCAGGTCTACCTGAAGATGATTCGTCATTGGTTGATGGTCGTATAACGTGATTGTTCCATAGTATTGCAAATCTATGTAGCTCTTCTCGTATCACATCCATATAACAAAATCTAAGACAATCGGAATGGATTGGATTTGAATCTGAATAAAGCCCCATTTCTCTAAG